GTGGGAATGACATACCCGGGGGCTAGGTTTGGGCTCATTAACACCCACTTGGATGGAGGACATCCCTTTAAAGTTACAGTCTTCTAACTTTTCAGGTTCCCCAGTTAGCGACTTACCCGAAGAAAATTTTGGCGGGCCCATAAATAAGTATCACGCATACTCGGTGTCAGGGTCTGAGCTAATTGAGACCTAGGTGGACGGGGGATAACCTCGTGAAATTACAGTCTTCTAGCTTTTCAAGTTCTCGAGCTAGCAACTTGCCCGAAAAAAATTTTGGCGGGCCCGTGTGTGGGTGCCACACATGCCTGGGTGCTGGGTTTGAGCTCATTTAGATTTATGTGAGCGGGGAACATCCCTTCAAAATTTCGGCTTTCTAGCTTTTTTGATTCGCGAGTTAGCGACTTACCCGTAGAAAAATTCACAGGCCTCTACGTGGGTACCACGCGGGTAATACTGCCCATTTTGGGAATGGGGGCCCGTACATGCATGTAAATTAAGTTCCCAAAGTTCCAGCTCTATAACTTTTGTAGGTCTCGAGATGAAAAATCAGTACAAAGGCCCAGCGCACACACAGACAATCTCTCGTCAGTATGCGTTTTCCGCATTGCATAGCTGCATTTACAAAACGTTTACGTGGGTTGCTGCTCTCCTTGGGCTGTAACGCAGCCTGATGAATTGTTTTCGGTGAAACGCATATTTTTATAGAGAGTATTACTTGTCTCCGGAGAATCTCCAAAAAGATTTTTATTTGCGGCGGAAAATGGATCGGAACGGATTCCTACCGTTGACGTTGATTGCGGGCTTTCCGCGTGTCCGGTCGCTCACTGACAACCTGCCGCTTATTGTTGAAGCATTGAAGTGCAGTGAGAAGATTGAGTTCAACGACACTGATGAACTTGTGAGTTACATTTCTTCTTCATAAAATGACGATGGGCAGTTGGATGTTTTCGCGTCCTGTTTATATCACTTTTCACTCTCTCCAAGCCCTGAGCACAAGGATTTATTAGTATCGTTACTGATTGCGACGGGAAAACTGAAAAACCACCGTGGACGTGCTCACACCGTTATGATTGCAATGACTTGGATGACTAGCAATCTGTACTCTTTAAATATTTTCTTAAATTACGGGTTATCCGTGTGCTCTCTGAAGCTCATAATTTCGGTTCTCCTCATGTTACCTTCATTGTCGCACGGGGTACAAGAAAATTTACCGTTGAGAATATACATGTGGAGTTCCAGCTTTTTATCTTTCCTGCTTCCTGAAACTGTTTTCTCGCCAAAAATTTATAGCTGTTTGGGCGCAGACCTGAGTGTACATAAGGATTGTTTTAAATTGGCCAGATCACGCGTGTACGAGCATCCACATGAATTTCAGCTCCCTAGCTTCTCGAATTACTGAGTTGAAGTGGCGACGAAATCGAGCACTCACCAACAATTTCTTGTCAAGAGTATTTTTTAGCATTCTTGTAAATATGCGAAAATGCGTAATCAGTATGTTCAGTGCAAACCGTTATCTGAGCACTTGCATGTGAAATAATGGGATAGCTTTTTTTAGATTCGAACTCCCGATAATCCGCAGCAGTGGCCGCTTTTGGAAGAAACCTCTCCACCC